TTGATGTTGAGCTTCCGATTTCAGAATGGCAATTCGTGAATGGAAACACTGCAGGGTCTTCCTGCACTCCTTTCTTTCCGAGTTCTTTCTTCTGGGATTCCAGACAAAAATTCGTCCTGGCGGACCAGCGTCTTTTTCTTAGAAAAGTTTCACTTTCTTCGTAAATCTAAAGAAGCCCATGCACTTCGTGGGTTAATGACCGCTTTTGTTATCTTGATTTGTCCATTTCTTGACCTGTTATCTGTATGGTGAGGACACTTCACCCTTTCTTTGCCTCGGGCCTTAGCTGAGTCGACAGGGAAACTTCCCTTCTTTTGTTTGGGTTAACGGCTGCATCTCGTCGGGGCATTTTCACTTGTACTGCATTATCTTTACCAAAGATCTTTATATTACGGTCAACCAACTGAGCTGTTCGATTACCCAATAAGTAATATTCCTGATTGAGATCTTGGCTAATTATTGCTGCTTTGATGATTACCTTCCCAAAATTCTCTCCTTCGAATTCTACTTGTGCAAGAGGCAACCGAACTGGTTGTGAGTCCAAAGGTTGCTTGATCAAGACAGTTTCCTTTAACAACATTTCTGATGTTACATGATCCCTTCCTATTAAGTCAGTAGTGGATCCAGTATCTCTAAGCATTTTAATCTTTCGATCATTGACTTTCACAGTACTAATATATGGGTCAAGCCACATGTTTGGGGTACCCAAAATATCCAAATTATTTACGACTTCGATGGATTCCGTTGTAGCTTTTAATCGCAGGCACTGGTATCGGAGATGATTCTCTGAATCTAGGTGCTGTCTATTTCGAAAACGTTTGACTTCCATTTCTCGACAGTCTTTCCTTCTGCACCCTCGTCACCGCAACATATTCGATCTGTTGGTTCACCCTTCTTCCTTTCCTATTTCAGTGCTTTTAACAAAACCTGTCAGTTTTTTTTTTTATGGACCTACATACTTCTTCATATTCATCTAATTTTCTGACTAATTCAGAGGAAGATATTATATTCGGCCAGTCGTTCACGAATTTCGCCGTTTATGCGACGTTTTATTTGGTCTGTCAACATTAAGTCTTTTAGCGAATCAAAATCTCGCACTTCCACTCTGTTTAACCACTCATCCAGATAATTCCTCAGCTCAAAGGCAAAATCTTTATATCGAGTACCTGCACACCCCTGGTGCTGAACAAATTTAACCTGAAAAGCCTCTGGGCTCAACTTGAAATGTTGTAAAAAATTTTCTTTACACAAGTGTAGTTATCGAGCTCCTTTTCCGGTTCCTGTAGAATAATAGAAACAATGTCCATTGGCAATAAAGCCATCAAATGCAGTCTCCTTCGTCTACATATGCTTTGCGAGCCCGACGCTCAAACATCGCTAAATAAAGAGAAATATCCGATGATTCAGGATTATATCTCTGCATTAAATTTTGCAATTCTCTTATTGACCTAGGAATATTATTCTGGGAATTTTCTCTGACATTGAGTGCGTTTGTCAACCTCATTCATTCCAGTTCAAACTCTCTCTCCCTTTCCTTTTCTAGTCTCTTCCTTTTTTGTCCCCCCCCCCCTAGTCTCTGCTATTCGGCTTCTTCCAGCCTACGCTGTTGTATCCGAGTTTCAGTAATGGATTCTAGCGTTGCCTCGACAAATTTTTTGTCATAATGAGGACTCTACACAGCAAGGTTTTTAAGATCTTGTATTTTTACTTTGGAGGGAATCTCTAAACCTAATTCCTCAGACAGATTTATGAGATCCTGTTTCCTACCCTTCCCAAGATATGGCATATTTCGAATTCCAAAATTTCAGATCATACACAAAATAAAATAGTTTTTCAAAAGTATTAGCTGCTTACTGTCAAAATTTTTCACACTTTAGAATTAAATAGAATAATGTAAAATGACATTGCAGTTTATAATATGCTTGACATAGACTACTATTAAAATCTTTCCCACTTTAGAATTAATAAGAATAACACAAAATAACATTGCAATTTATGATATGCTTTACACAGACTACTTGCGATTAGCAAAATGTTAAGAAGTAAAGACAATTTAGAGCAAATAATTTCAGCTTACAATTTTAAATAAAATATTTCAGCTCGAACAGGTAATAATGCTCACTACAATAAGCAAATTTCTAAAATACTTTTCGAAAAAAGGAAAACAGAACTTAATTTATAAATAACACATGCCTCTTAAATTTGAAAACTGGACATTAAAATTAGGTTTCTCAAAACCATTCATGGTTACGAGTGACCTATCAATTTAAACATATAAATCTGACACAGCAATTTCACATAATAAAATAAATATTGCCTCTACAAAGGTTAATGCCCAAATTGACTTACCCCGTTTTGCAGACAAGCAGACACACATTTTTCTAATCAATTCAGAAGCACTTGATCATAACTTTGGCACTATTTGTTTCCTTTTTTATATCGCTAAAGAAAACACACCTTTTTTTTTCCATTTAGCGGGGAAATCACTATTCACTAAGTCAGCAAATCACTTCCTAGTAGTTGGTGGTTCTTTCCACAAACACATATTCAGAGATAAGATTGCTGAAACTTGCTATTGTCCACAAAAGAGGAAATTTCCTTCAGGCACTTTTTGCACACAGTTTTTCACACTGTCTTTGGTGTAGCTCAGTGCTCCGCAACCTTTTCTCACCTGCTACGCACAAAATATCTTTCTGGAATTTTGTGGCACACCAAAAGCTAATGTATATATGTATTGATTTATACACAAAATTTACAATAAATTTTTGTTTTTAATTTGAAAAATGTACAATTATAAAACCATAACATATTTATTTATATGCAATCATAATAATTATCAATGTGATACCTGCGCTTGCTTCAATGAACACAAAAGTTTTATATTCAGCTCAGTATCTGACAACGCAACACGAAGTTCTTGGTCAAGATCTTTTAAGCATGACCGCTTATCATTTTTAATTAATAATAGAGCTGGAAAACTTTGCTCACATAAATACGTCGTAGAAAATGGAAGTAATGTTAAAATTGCTTTTTCGGAAATATGAGGATATTCTTTTTTTTTTTAAATTAAAAAACAAAATTCTTCAATTTGATTGGTTTATTTCAAATTTTTAAAAAAACAGTTTTAGAGCTATTATTTTTAATTAAAATGGTCTGAAACCAATATATTTCGTTTAAATTTATGTTTAAAAAAAAGTTATATATTTTTGAGTTCCGAGTTATCAAGGAAGTGCCGAAAAAATTCAAATGCTGACACACTTACAATCACACACACAACAGTGAAATATATAAAAACATTTAAAATAGACATTATTAAGGGGGAAAAATTGTCATTTTGTATTAAATACATGATAAAAAATTGCAAAATGTCAAATACATGTATTTGATTGCGGAGCACTGGTGTAGCTGAGACTACGCGGGGAACGGAGAAGTTTCAATTACTTTTTCCTTCAGAACATCCACTTAGCTGCCACCATTTTTACATATAGCCTCTATATGTGTGACGAATTCAAAAGGCAAGAAATTTATTTAGGTTCTTTCTAGACTATATGCAAAAAAATAAAAATAAACTTATACAGTATTGTTCTCACAGTAGGGTGAGGGGGGAAATGAAATATAACCAGTTCCAGACGGTGTAAGTAAAGTTCCTGTTTAGAACTCAGCCAAGATGAAAGTTCTTGTTTGGAAATATTTCAAGCTGATGTTTGGTTCAAGATAAGACTATTTTAGAATTAGTTGACTCTCTAAGCCGGTGGTTGCCGAAGAGCAGGATGCTCTTTGTAAGGTAGCGGCGAACCTGGCTACTCTGCTGTAAATTTCTTGGTAGAGATATTAATATCGCTGTACACAGAGTGAAGCAAAAATTTGCTAGTGGCCGAGCTGGAAAAACCGAGAGAAGATTTCTCTCTCTACTTACTGCAACTAACTCTCACTCGCTCTTCTTTTTGGAACTGCATTCCATCATTTTGTTCAAGTTGTCGTGGGCGTGTTGAAACGAATCCCAGGATCCTCATTTGTCCATAATTTTTAGAAGTGCCTCTTGATTGGCGAGAGCACTTTGATTAACAACTGAATATGATGAAGACAGCCTGGGAAAATGTATGTGAGAACTTTTTGGTTCCAACTGGGGACTCAAACCGGGTGATCTGAGACACTGAACCTATAAACTGATGAAAGGGAATGAAACAATGTCTCCCTTCAAACAACTATAAGAGGAACAAAAAGCTGAGATTGTTTTATGACTACTGGTCACTTCCTCTTTCCGAGAATTCACTAAGAAATACTTTGTCCATGGGAATTTTCATGGTGGTCATTCTTTTACTGAGAACTTCCTGATGGTCGATAAAATAGCTTAATAGCTTAAGACATTACACTATCATCTTTATATATTTTTCGATAAAAACTTTCTCTTTTTCTGCTAATTTTATTTAAATTTGTTATTAACTACATTTGCACTCTTTACAAAAGATATATATGTCATAATTTTTGAGCAATTGTTCTTATGATAGCTAATTTTCAGATTGTATAGCTATACCATTTTGAAATATTAGCATTTGCAGTAGTTAATAATTAAAAGATCTATTCGTCTAATTCTTGAATTATGTTTTTATCTAGTCAAATTTGTTTATTTTTATAGTAATATTTATTATTGTACATGATTACAATGACAAATATAGTGTAGTTTTTATATTATTTATGTATGTAATATTATTGTTTTTGCTTTTTATAATTTTAGTATGTCTTGCATTCTTTGTATGTGTACCATTTTTGTGAATGCTTATAATCTTTGTGTACTAATTTGAAAATACATATAGATAGCAGTTTAACTTTTAATTTTATCATTTACTTATACTGTAAAATAATCATGAAACATAATTTTTGACTGTAAAATAGCTAACGATTTTCTTGTTCTAAATTAAATGCATTAATTTAGACTTATTTTAAGAGGTAGTGAATGTATTTGATTAATATTATGTGTATTTTATTTTATTCTTCTGCAGTTCCCTCTCACAAAACCAAAAAGACGCCAGATAGTTACATGACTGATTCATTTACCGATATGAGCATTCCGGTTTATGCTATGGTGAAAGGCGTATGTATTTTTTAGATGTGCAGATCAAACTTTATTGTTTGCTAAAAATAAGGATATGTATAAATATTTTTTAAACTATAAATGTATTCTCCCAGAGAGCATCGCAAATTCGTTCGGTGCCATTCACGGGTGAATCTACTGATTCATCAGATAATGAGGACACTCGAATCACATCTACTCATACCACAAGTGGGGAGACTGAATCTAGTGCATCTACAGGTAGTCCGGGAAGGGGAAACAAAGGAAGCTCTAACCAGAGTCCTGCAAAACATAGTTGTACTTCTCCTACAAAATCTGTAAAAAGAGGTAATTTATTTATTTATTGTATATATATATTAACATTTGGTTGTGCAGAAGGGGCCAAAAAACTATGTGTAAAAGACAAACATATTTAAAATTGTAATACTGAATTTAAACAGTCATCAGACATAATTTGAAATGATTTGGGCTCTGACTGGGATTTTAGAGAATTGCTTTTACCTTCTACACTGTTATGAGTTAGGAATAGTTTTTAGTCAGTGTTAAGATCCTAATGATTTGATGTTAGTACTTGATTTGCTTGATTACAATCTGATTGAGTGCAGCCCCTGTCTTAGATTGAGCAGCAGGGCAGCAATAGCAGGATTTTTTTTATCCTTGAAACAACTTAAGCTGTAGAAAAGATTCAAACTGGGGACTTGCTTAGTTATTGAGAGCACGAGTGTCTTAACCTATTGGGTTGTGCAAAACTAGGAATCAGTTCAGTTCTGTATGAAGCACAAGGCTTAAACTATTTGACTTCAATTGACTGATTGATTTGAACATCATTGTATTAAGTGATCCTTCTACAAATTTTGGATGGATTATTGAGAATTAGTAAGTAATTCAGTTAAAGATGCTACCATTAAGCCATAAATAGTTCATTTAGTTCAAAAGATATAGCAATTAACATCCTGTTGGAATTAATGAGAATATGTGAAATTTGCTTTATAAATTTTATATACTTTCTTAAAAGTCAAATTACATCTATTTCGGTTGTGTACTGTAAAATATAGATATAAATGAATGGGAAATTTTGCATCATGTAGTAAATTTTAGTAGAGGTTTAACGCTTAGTGTATTGTATGTCTTTGAGTTGCCTTTAATTACTTTCATAATATTAAATGTAAAATGGACATATGCCTTTGTAAGAGATGGTAACTAGTAAGTTTTTTAAGAAATAGTAACTAGTAATTAGTTATTGCTTCAGGAAATAATGCATTATAATATCAGAAATTCACATCGCTTGATTCATCATCGTGGTGTGAACTCAAATATCAAATTTTTGAATGTAAGTTTTTGAAGGAACTTCTCATAGCAAGAAGTTTTTTGTGTTTATCATGGAAACTGCCTCAAGAAAGGGAAAATGTACTGAAAATTATGTTTATAATAAACTGGTCTCTTCAAACATTGGCCCACAAATTGCCCAGCTGTAAAATCATTGAACCCTGGTAGTTTCAACATGGATTCAATTCCAGATGAATAGGCTGTCTGCATGGGCGTTTTTGTGACTTTCTTCATCTATAACATCTATATGAGCTAGTTTCCCTTAGAAAATCTTTCACATAGCCCTAGTGTGCTTTAATCAAACAAAACTGAAAAACTCTCCAAACATTATTTTATAAGTAGTACGTAATTTTTATTGTTTTCAAACTTGTGTGTTTGCATATTTTTTAAACATTTTTTCTTTTATTTTATATTGCATAAATTTCTATGTTTTTGTAGCACTTAAGATACTGATCATGTAAACTTGGAACACACTTCCCCACTGTGATTTTAATGCACTTTTTTTCTGTAAAGAAATGTAACCGAAGAAGCATAAGAAGCAACTTCTTTTATTGTTAACTTTAAAATATGGTTAATTCAATGGATACTATACATTTTTAACCTATTTCATATTGTACATAATGATACTTTTTTAATATTTAGATGCAATTTTACTGGTATATCTCACTGAGCATTATAGAAAAATGTCTTCTCTCTCCTATTTTAGATACTTCGACAGAATCTGTTTTATCTGATGATTACGCTATACCACCAGATGCTTATGCTGATACATATAGCATGGATTCTGTAGAACAGACAAGGCTATCTTCCATAGTTTTAGAAAATTCAAAAAAGGTTATTTTTTTTTTCCTAATGACCGTCTTCTTTTATAATTGCAATTTAATTTTTCCTTGTTTCAGATGAAACACAATTAAGTACATTCTTAATGGAATTTCATTAACATCAAATAATGTCAAAAGAGCTGATAAACTTATTATTATTAGAGTACTTGCATATCATCTATTGACCATCATACTACTTTATTAAGCCCTCGAATTTTACCATCTGTACTACTTTGTTAAGCCCTCAGATTTATTTTTTCGGATGTTTAGAAAAGCTATGAGCACAAATTTCAAGCATGTAATTTTTCCAGTCTATAACAGTTTTGTTGGTCACATTCAGTTGACCATATCATGCCCATCAATACACACCTTTTTTAAGATAGTGTAACATCTGGTTTATGTTAGAAAACTTCCAGTTTCTCTTTGGAACAAACAACAGTGTTTGCTGAAATGTCTGAAAAATGATCAAGGAAAGACTCATTAAGGACACACACACCCCTTGGTGTTGTATCCAAATGCTTTGTCAAGAGAGATGAAAAATGCTGACTGTTGTCTGAGAAATATCGAACGAGTAAGATGCATCACACGTTTAGAAAGCTGAAGTATTTCTCCTTCTGTAATAATGCTGTAATTTTACTTTTTAATTACTAACCAAGAAAGCCTATGTTAAGTTTTAAAATGAATATGAAAAAGGACAATTGGTCTTAATTTTTTCATCAGAGAAGTTTGGCAACATAGGATCATATAACTTTTTTGAATGCAATCCTCTCCTCACTGTGAAAGGCAAGCTTCAAGTTTATTTTTTCCCCCAAAATGCCAGAAAATTACAGCAATAACAGTTAACTTATATCTTTTTTTATATATAAAAACAAAAAAAGAATCTTCTTGAAAATCCATTGGATTGCATTAAAGGAAATTGCAGATGTTATGAGTGTATCATTATGTCACACTTATTGATAATTGATGTTAAATCATATTGTTGGTGACAGTTTCACAGTCGATGGGATAATATGCTAAGTACCATAATTACTACTACAATGTACATCCAGAAAGTAAGTTCCGTTTGGCAATAAAAGTAAATTGTGTACAGCTACAGAAAAGTTATTTATTGCACAAAATTCAACAACTCTTAAACTACTTTTCCACATAACTGCCGAAATAATGCAGGCATTTGTCATAGCGTGGCACAAGTTTTTGTATACCTTCTTCATAGAAATTTGCCGCCTGTGTCTTCAACCAGTTGGAAACAGTTTCTTTCAGCTCGTCGTCATTGTTGAAGTGTTGACCGCCAAAGAAAGACTTAAGATGTAAGAACAGATGAAAGTCGTTATTAGCGAGGTCAGGGCTGTACGGAGGATGGTCAAACACGTCCCAGCCAAATCCCTGTAGGAGGTTTTTCGTCACATTTGCATTGTGTGGTCGTGCGTTGTCATGAAGAAAAACAACACCTTTTGACAGCAATCCTCGACCCTTATTCTGTATTGCGCACGCAATTTCCGAAGTGTCTCGCAATAAGCATCTGCTCTGATTGTTTGACCACGCGGTGAGAAATCAATGAGTAAGATGCCTTTCCAGTCCCAGAACACTGTGCACATCATTTTTCGAGGTGTCAAGATTTGCTTCGTCTGAACCTTTGATGGGGATGAAGTGTGCTTCCATTCCATTGATTGCCGCTTACTTTCAGGGGTGTCGTAAGAAACCCAAGTTTCATCTCCTGTGACTATCTGTGTGAGAAATTCTTCGCCGCTTTCAGCATAACGGGTCAAAAAGTGAAGTGCACTACCCATCCGTTTTGTTTAGTGTTGCTCGGTAAGAATCTTTGGTACCCAACATGAGCAAAGTTTACGAAATTTCAGTTTTTCGGTAACAATTTCATTCGTTGGTGATCGTGAAATTTGGGGAAATTCCATAGCGAGAGAACTAATTGTAAACCTTCGGTTTTCATGGATCTTGTCATCAATCGCGGGAACCAGTTCTTCTGTAACCAAAGATGGACGGGACGCCCACTTCGTTCTTTATTGTGCACATCACTACGTCCGTCATTGAACTTTCGGACCCATCTTCTCACCATTGAATCACTCATCGCGTTTGGTCCGTAAACATCGCAAATTTGCCGATAAATTTCACTAGGTTTCACTTTCCTCGCATTCAGAAAATGAATCACAGATCTGATTTCACAAGCGGCAGGATTTTCAATCAACACCAACATTGTAAACAAGCACAACAAAGCGTACGTGACTGACAACGATCTCCAAATGGCGCACGTTTCTACTCCTTGATACAGAGCGTCTACTGCGCATGTGCGGAACTACGATCGCAGAGCTGCAGCGGAGATAAATTGAAACGGAACTTACTTTCTGGACGTGCCTCGTATTATTATTTTCATAAAGTGCAAATTGTATGGTTTTCACATGTACTTACATCAGGTCCTTATATTGAAAGATTTCTTGAACGTTTATTCTTGGTATAGGATTAGAGTTTGTTTCTTTCATAAAAATATTTTAAAGGAGTGGTTTGTAGAAATATTTTAATCGTATGCAATTTTATACTGTAGTTAAGTTCAGCAATATGTCATTATCTCACATAGTCTGATTTTGATAAGTTTAGATTTACTATTATCCAGTTTGGAAATTTCAAATAAATAAATAAATAAATAAATTGATCAAAACAAGAATAAATTCTAAAACATCAGTACACAAATTTATTTTTTTAAAATAAACTAGTGATAAATTTTTTCTCCCTTTACACAGTCTCGTTTTCTGTGGTTTATTTTTATGCTGTTTTAGAGTTATGCAATACCGTACATCTTTCAATTTTTTGTATGCTTTCCCATTGTATATTTTTTTACATCATATTCCTTGCATCTGCTGTAATGAAAATTTGAAAGAGGTTTTCAGAGACATTTTTTAAAGTATAAGCAAAGAATGGCTTGAATTAACAGCAAGAAATATGATGGCAGTATTGATTCATGTTGTGCAAATGATCTCATTTGTTTCATGGTTTTTAATTTTTAGATTTTATTAACCACTTGCACTAAAAAGACGTGCCACACACGTCAAGATGCTTTTGTCTCAAACCACGAGCGACGTGAACACCACGTCGATAGGCATTTATCGCAAAAATGAAAATAATGTGGTGCACACGTCGCCTAACAATGAGATTGTTTATTTCTTGAGTTACAGCTCTTGATTGCTTTCGCAGACGCGGAGCGGCGTAAATGGGACACTTTACTACTTGTTGTATTGTAGCGCACGGCACCGCAACCGTGAAGTTTAGTTCTAGTGCAAGTGGTTAAGGAAAATATTTCTACAGTAATAAATGAAATTTACTGAATTTATAAAATTTGAATTATGTGAATTCCATTCCCCCACCTCTGGTGATTTTTCAGAATAGTTATTTTATATGAATTGTATTTTTAGTCCAAAGGGCTTTGTCCCTGAAGGGCTATTGTTTTCGTTTTGCGATTTTGCTTCGAATTGTTTTTCAAATTGTTGCCACCAAATGTTAGAGTATTGCATTATATTTGAAGAAATTAAATAATGAAGTATCTGCATAAATGTATGTATGTTTCTCGCATTATAATAAAGCAACGGTACCCTCCAATTTGAGCCATCCAATTTTGAATGATGTAATCCTACTGCAAATACGGGCATCTGAAAGCCCAAATTTGGAATTTGTTTTATTATCGATTTCATATTTTGTAAAACTTTAACGAATTTTTGATTAACAAACTCAAGAATATAAAAGCAAGCAATGGCAACACTCTACAGGATGAAAAAACCTTTTTATCTCCAGCAGGCGGAACTGTGTATCAGAAATTCTAAAGATATGCTCATTTTAAATTTTTTGCGACATTTTTGTTAAACTGAATTTTATGGTTTAAGTGTAAAGAACATGATATTTAATAAATAAAGGTAACACACAAAATGCTAAAAATTTGTGCCTTTGGACGTAATTTGAAATCTCAAACCTTTCAGGTTTTTTTTAATTATATTTTGTTCATCATATTAAATTTTGTTTAGAAATTTTCATATGAATATCCAAGCAATGTTAAATCAGTTATATTTGATTTTAATTTTATTTTACTTCAATATATGACGCATTGCTCAATTTTTTACGTAAATACTATGTACATTAATTATTGATTTTCTTTTCAACATGTATTTTAAAAAGCTTCCCTTCGCTACTGTACTTTTCTGAGTATAAAAATGTAAAAAAAAAAATAAAATAAATAAAAAATAAAAAAAATAATAGAATAAAATAAGAACATAAAATCTAGATCATCTAATTAAATGTTAATATATTTTACATCAGACTTGTGAAATAAATCCTTCAGTAATCTGAATCAGGCATTAAAGAATAAGTTAAAGTCAGTTAAGTATGCCAAATTGCTAAACTTATTTGAATAAGCGAGTATTTCTAAAATTCTTCCCTACGTGTAGAATTTCTATAATATATGAACACTATTTTCATATCAATTTTTTCTGTATACAGAACTTCTATAGTATGTGAATACTGTTTTCAGTTTGAATTGCTAAGCAGTATTTCACACATCAATAATTGAAATGATATCACCGCACAAATTGAAAAACCTTCTGGTTTCGCCGTTTCCTTGCAGATATCTCATAGTTTTTAAGATTTCAAGGGTTGGCAGCTATATGTTTCTATGAAGTCATCACTAATAACGTAGTGGAAACTGTACAACGATTTGGTTTGAGTGAGTTTTCCACCAACATAACTTAGTGCATCCAATCAGTGAATGAACAGAAACACGTATTAATGTAGATTTTAAAAAAAAAATGGCTCATGGAGCAACCGAGGAAAATAAATTACTACTGTATGGAAGTGCCTACTTGAAAGTTAAGAGCTGAACGAACAACTATAAAAAATATTGGAATGATTGAAACTCTGTCACATCATATCATGGAATCATGGAAATTGATTCCAATATTGATTCCAATATTTTTATTCGTTCACTGAATTATAAACAGTGCTGTTCTTAGCTACAAAAAAGATATGAAGAGAGAAGGGCAAAGAAGAAAAATGTGCAGGCACCAATATTGCAATGTTTTGGGAATTAAAAATGAATTATGAAAGAAATATATTTTTAAAAATTATTTTTAATAAAGACATTTGAATCTGTTGAGTTTTATTTATTAGAAAGCAGAGAAATTTTTGTGGGGAAGAACCAATTATCATTTTTTTTACATGTTTAGTTCTTTAGTTAGTTAACTGTAAAGTGTCTGGGCTGTTGATGGAACCAATTAGCTAGATTATGTGAGATATTGCTGTAAGCCAAGCCAATTGTGTAAGAAATAAGGAAGTATATAAATGTTTTTTTTTTTTTTTAAGAATCCTTTTTAAAAATTATTAATAATGATTTTTTTAATACCATGCTCCTTAATTCCTTCTTTAATTTTGCACTTTGTACCTGAAAGTAATCTGCATCCTTTACTGCTTCTAAGAAAATGCATATTTGATGTTAAAAATTGCATTAATGTGTCGTTTCAATTTCCAAAACATTAGGAAACTTCATTTTCTGTAGCGTTTACATATCAATTTATTGTTAAATGTTTGTCTTCATCACTTATTATGTACATGTTTTAAGTGCCAGATTTTATGCTGATGAGCAACTGTATTAAAGATATCTGTGTAGTAGCATGTAGCACTACCTTTTGCTTGGATGTTGCAGCAGGGAATTCTACAAAATATTGAAAGCAGGAGGAGGCCTAGTGATGCACTGCATACGATTCATTGCTGCTATGTAGGATGCATAACCCGTCATAATGCATGAAGATTTGCTGAAACAATCCATTTCCCACATCTGTCTTGATAGCATCCTTGATGTGTTTAATAGGATTGAATAGGATTGAAGTCAGGTGACTTTAAGGACCAGGCTGGGAACCTCATATCTGTGAAGTTTTCCTCGAACTATTCAGCTGCACTTCTGGAGCGATGAGCCAGTGCATCATCTTTTTGCAGGTATATGTTTCTTGAAGAATGCTGTAATTGAATAAATATAAGGCTATGATCTGACAGCAATTTCCTACATTATTCATTAATAAGTGATAGTGGCGAATACACCAGGAGTCCCATTTTTCCCTTGTAAACAGTCCTCATGTGAAGGTACCACCTCCACCCACCTGAGTGGTATCCTTCTGCCAAAAGGAATGCATCACCTCATGTACTTTATAACATACATGTACCCTATTGTAGAAATGAATTAAACAGTACTTAAATTTATCAGTCCCAAGCAATTTTTCTTTGTGCTTCAAGGGTCTAATGATGATATTCTTTTACCTATGTTAATCTGGTGCTATGTGGTGAGAAGTTTTTGTATCCAGTAAGCAATATGTTTATGAATGGCATGACTTCTTTCACATTATTGTTCTCCAGCATTAAATTGGTTAATGATCTGTTGAACGGTGACCCATCTATCTGCTGTTGTTATCTAACTGAGCAAAAGATCCACACTACATATTTTATGCCACAGCAGTTGATTCTGGTGATGATCATTAGGACCTCTAATACTATTCTGATACCTTGTACAAGATTTAGTAAATTCTCAGTCACATGCTTCGCCGCATTTTTTATTCGTCGAAGCTGTGTGATGGAGTATTACCAGAATGTCAGCTATCTATACCATCAAGGTACCACGTTATTAATTACCTTTTATTAAATACATGCATTTTTCATATTAATATTAAAAATGCATTCATATGTTATAAATTACCCATTTTTAAATACATGCATTTTTAATTTTAATATGCTTTTTAGGATATTTTTGAGAAATGTGGCTATCTCACTAAACTTGGTGGGAAATTAAAAACTTGGAGAAGACGATGGTTTGTTTTAAAGAATGGTACACTTAGTTATTACAAAACTCAGGTAATATATATTATTTTATTTTTAACTGTACCATAATCTGTTTTAAGTGCTTCATTTTGTTGTATTTATCATTTTCATGTAAAACCTTTGATTTTCATGTGTTGTTGTTGTATTTGTCACTTTCATGTCTATTAATTTCTACAAATTTCTATTAAATTATGACTTTTCTAGCTACTTTGAATTTGTTCCTTTGTAATGAACTTGTTTTCTCATCTATAATTTGCTATTACTTTTTTGAATAAAAGTAATTCATTAATAAATCAAGTAATCTTAATCTTATCTCTTAATAAATCAAGTAATCTGTGATAGAAATTTAATGAAATCAGTTATATTTCTTATTTGCATTTATTTCAGAATGACGTGGGCAGGAAACCTCAAGGTCAGATTTTGTTAGATGATGTTTCTAGAGTGAATAGAGCTGAAGGTGCTTCAACTTTTGAGGTATCTCGTTGTTAAAAATCATAAATGTGCATAATATATTTCCCAGTGGTCTACTTTAGAAGCTTCTTTCATTTAATTTTATCTAATCACTGTTTTAATTACAAATTTAAGTTACACAATTACACACACAATTTATAAATTAGTTTTTCTAATCTGATACTCAATATAGATTTTATTTTATTTTTATTTATTTTCGAAATTATGGATTCTCTTCATAGTACCCTTAATGTGACATCCTGCCAAAGTATTGTATATTATTTATTAAAGAATATGTATGAATTTCATATTAAAAAAAATAATGAAAGGCAGAGCATCAATACATTAATTATAGCTGATAAATTTTATTGCTTGAAAATTTACCTTTGTCAGTAAGGTCATATCTGAAATAGTCAGTCATATTTGAAAATAATTTTAATGAACTTGTTCAAGATGTTTTTAAATCTGATCAATGAAATATTCAGTTACTTTCACAGAATTTTAGAAATTGAAATTAATAATAATAATATTTAAGATTTCTTTAGATTTACTGTGGATGATTCAAACTAACATCAAAATTGCTATTTTATTTATTAATTTATTATAGCTTATTGAATTAGCAGTTTGTTTAGCTGTTATTATAATTTATGTATGTAATTGATTTTTTACAATAATTACTTTTAATAATTTATGCTAATCTGCATTTGCTATACTTTTGTGTAGGAATTCTTTATTTCATAAAATATTTATAATTAGGTCGCTACATCAAAACGAACGTATTATCTTACTGCTGATTCAAACACAACTATGGAAGAGTGGATCAAAGGTAAAATATATCGATTTTTTTTCACATTGTGATTACTAATAATTATTTCTCATGTTTCTATTTTATTTCTATTTTCCATAAAGTTTTTACAAAATATAATCTGAATCCACTGGTATTGTTATTTTAAAAGTTTTGTAATTGTGTAGTGCTAAAATAATCTTTGGCTTATATTTTTGCCTTTATTTAATGAAAAAAAACCAATTTTTTTAAAATGTTAAGAGTTGTAATACATATTTGGAATACTCTGTTTTAAGAGTGAGAAACTTTAATGTATAATATTATGACTAATGTGTCAAAATACCATGATTTTATATTTTTATTTATTTTGTGAATCTTTATTTCAGTTCTTCAGAATGTTATTAGAAGAAACACTACTCATTTAGCAATCAGTAAAGATGACAATAAACCATCCATACAAGGATGGGTCACTAAAGTAAATTATTATTATTATTATTTAAATTATATAAAGTTTGAATAAGTCTGTTGTCTAATATATTCTTAATTCCTTATGTTAGGTAAAACATGGTCATTCTAGAAAATGCTGGTGCTCGTTAGTCGGAAGAATGTTTTTATATTACAAAACTCCTAATGATTCAGTATGTTTTGTTTTGATATATTTCTGTGAAATATTTTTCGTATGTTCTATTATAATGCAAACTGTCTTGTTATTATGTAAGATCAGTATTATTGACAGTGTTCATGTTTCTGCTTTTTCTAATTTTTCCTTCCCCCCCCCATCTAATATTTTATTCCTTTTTTTATTTTATATATTGCGACTGTAACCAAGTAGTTGTTATATGCTTTTATGTGTGCCATATATATATATATATATATATATAACGTGCACTAAAGATTAGTCTCCATGAGGAGACAGCCCACCAGTGGCTGAGCAATAAAGTTGCTGAACACTGGTAGTTCGGTCCGAAGTTTGAATCTGGCGAACAGGCTGACTGCATGGGCCATTTCAGGGTTTTCCCTGTGTTTAATCTGTTTACAAGCGAGTTTCCCTTTGGAAGTCTTCCACGAAAGCATCCCTCCCCTTAGGCAAATAGCCCTCGAGCTTTGCCTTAGGCAGATAGCCCTCGAGCTTTGCCATAATCATATAAAACCAAACCAACTCCATGAGGAAACATATCTCAGAGCAAGTATCTCTGGATGTATGCAGCACCTGCACCAGTCCATCTACACGGGAAAATATCTGCTTTGACTCTTTCATTGGCTTAATAGCTCAGAGCATTCTTCCTGTATAGACAAAATGCTGTCAGACAACATATCTGTGAATGTGGCTTTACTGTGGCACTGAGTAACTTTGTCTGTTCATGTAGATGGACCTTTAATGACCAAAAGTAATTGAATACCTCAATATGCTGATCTCTCATAAATAAGTTAGATATTAATATGTTATTTGTTCATCTTTTGCTGCATCACTAATTACCACTGTGACAGGAAAATTATACATTAATTTGTGGAAATTTGCAGTTGAAACTTAATGTCCTGCTTGAAAAACAGCAATGGTAAATTCAGTCGCCAGAATAGGGTGACATAGCACTGCTTGCAGCTTATATTCCAGTTTCATTCTAAAGATGCTGTATAAAACTGAGATCAGAGCTTTGAGCTGATCAGCTCATGGCTTCAACATTTATGCCAGTAAAGCAACTTTGTATGAAATGTGCATTATCAACTGGAACATGATCATGTTAAACTAGCAGTAGCTCCACACCAAACTATACCCACAATGTAATCAACATGGAATCCATGGAGTTCTCTCTTTTTCTATGACTATGATTCTGTCATATAGTTCACATAGTTTTAAGCACCTGTGTGGTATTCAGTTTTGAATAATAATATGAGATTAGCCTAAATATGTTATGAAATTTGCATGGCTAAGTTATAAATGTTCTAAATGTGACCTTTCTGTAGCACGACAAATATCATTGTGATAATCAAGTTCTTCTCAAAGATGTCTCGGCATGTTCATGTTGGCACTAACAGCAGCTTTCATGATGTGTTGTTTAAAATTGTCTGAACTAGTGGGAAGGGGAGGAGCAAAAACATGGTCCTTGATATTACTGCACAAGTAGTAGTCCTGCAGTACTAATTCTGCTCAGTTTAGTGGCCAGTGTAATGCTGAGGTAGATTTTCATCTATACCATGATTTAAACCAATGTGATAGCAATGTGTCAGCAGCAAAATTTATTTTTCCCTATTTAAGTACATAAAAGGCTTATGCTACTTAATTAATGGCCATATTGCTCGACTAGCGTCAAAGGTGTGTATGTGTAATACTGGCATCTAGAAATACAAAGTCATCAACATGAAGACTCTTCTTCTTACTAATCCCTCTGATCTGAATCGGATCAGATACAAAGGTCATTTGCCTTCATAACTTCCAATACAAAATTAGGTCCTTTCAGCAGATCTTGCACCAAGGCAACACAACTAAGTAGATGTTTGTTGTGCAGTATTTTCATGGTTTTTACATTTGGCACAAGTGGGAAAAGTTTTAGTACTATGAGAATATCTTAGAGTCTTTAAATTTTCTGAAGTCAACTAAGTCAGAGCTTTTTTTGGGCCTTCCTAACAATTGTAAACAATAGCAATACCAGGACCTGTACTATGATACCATGAGTGCTTCAGTAGTTATAGTGACAATACCCACATTACTAATGGTTAAACAATGAGTGTCTGATGCACTACAACCTGAACCTGTCTCCAGAAATTGTTAATCAATGCCTTTCTTGTGTAAAGGTAGGTCAAAGGTTCAGCATAAACCTGAGGCATAGAAGTACCCTCCTTTGTTAGTCTATCAGCTATGTTATTATATTTTAGATTTACGTGAGATGGTATCTGTTGTAGATGGAGGACAGAAGATGAGATAGGGCTTTGAGTTTTGCAATAACTTTAATTCCTCTCAGGTGTCTTAATATTTCTACAGTTATTTAGTTTTTGGATTACACTTCAGCTGTCCATAAGAATCCAAATTTCCCCTGGATAAACATTTCTGTAAAACATCATCCAATAGCAATCAATTCAAATCTGAAAACAGAACAGAAATCGCCTTGGTATTTTGCACTTGAGAGATATTTCTTCCACACCAAATTTAACAAAAAAATCCCACTACCAATGTGTCCAAATTTATTCTTACTGTCATCTGTATATATCAGAACTGCCTTGACAAATATTCTATTAATCACTCCCAGAGCAGTCTGTCTTAAGTATTCAAGATGTTGAGACAATTTATTTGTATCAGTCAATAATTCTGTATAAAAAACACACCGGATAGTGAGTCTATAGGGGATGAGATAGGTTTTAAAGAATTAAAGGAAATGCTTTACCAATATTTTGGTAAACTTTAAAGTTTTTGTTATCAACTCGAAGACTTCCTCTGTAAAATGATACTAAATGCTTTCTGATAAAAACAAGCACTTTTACATTGATAAGCCTTTAATGTGCGTATTTCTTTTAGGCCAAAATTACTTGAAATTGAGATACATTTATGCAGAAATTAGCAAATTTTACTCATTTGTGTAGATATTTCAACATTTTAAATTAAATTTATGTAAAAAATATGGATTTAATTTTTTTAAGAAATAATTTTATACATTGGAGGTCTTATGTCTTTTATAAGTCAATAAATTAATGCAGTATTATTAAAATGAATGTAGTGTGTTATGCATTTCCATTTTTTTAATAATGTTTATATTTTTCATTCATGAAACATTTTGTAAATTTTTTAGAAGCCTTTAGGTCAAATAAATATGAGAGATGCAAGAGTCGAAGAAGTTTTGCATGTATCAGACAGTGATGAAGATGATGATGACTCTATGGCAAAAGCAGAATATACTATTGGTATTTTTCCTAACCATCAAGGCCCCACTTACTTAATCATGCCTGGCAAACAAGAAATGGTATATTTTTAATGAGCTTCTTCTCTACTTTATATGTGGCATGTACTTAGTAACACAGAGTGCAAAACTTATGAAGCTGAAATTTTAAAAAAATGAATCTTTATTAAATGCGTTTGATTTAAAAAAAAAAAAAAAAAAAGGCTTGCTGTGTGTTTCAAGTGCTACTGTTATTTGCCAGGTGTGGGAAATCACATACAGATTCCCTAAACAGGATAAAATGATTTTTTTATAATGAAAGAATGATGATTTTTTTTTTTTTTTTAATTGAATCTATTCTCTGTAGAATGAGCAGCATGCAGTATGTCATAGGCATGCCTGTGCCGTATCCATGAGTTAGTCATAGAAAAAGGCATTACACTGAACATGGATTTAAGCAGTCACTAGACTTAAAAGTCCCCCCGTGTGGAGTTATCTGAAGGCAGGGCTTGTAAAACAATCTATGAATTATCGTCTGAACTCAAACCACAGATTAAAATATATGTTAAGAGTGTCAGCCATGTGCTATTGAATAAATACCTCTTAACTTTATTCATTTGGATTACTTTTGCATAGACAGTGGTGGAAATATTTCCCTAACACTTGATTGTAACAGGAAAGTATGTACTTTTTCCATTCCTGTGTGTAAAACACATAGGGAATGTACTGAAAACTTTTGTGTGTGTTATTCTGTGGAAAGAAATTAAACTTTAGCTTGTGTGTGAATTCATTTGCACATTCTTAATGGTGAAAGATTGTTGAATACTTGTAATTTTTCCTGGTTCAAAAACCAGGTTAGTTTGTTTTTGTGGTTTTTTCTGTATGTAAAATGAATACGAAACCATTTCCCTTAGAAAACCCTCCACAAAGGCATTGCCTAGACAGATAGTTATGTGCTTTGCCATACTCAAGTTATGTAACATAAGCTTGATTGTGAGATCTAATAACTTGCATTGTGTTTAAATATTGTATTATATGTAACTGTATTCATATACAATAGTTTTCTAATAATGAAATTCATTATATCATTTTATCAAATTACAAATGAAAATGCTGTGTTAAATGCTCTTATTTTGGTACTTTTATATTCTTATAGTTCCTTCGTAATTTATGCCATTATATGAATACTTTTCTCTGAAATTATTCAGAGCCACTTAGTTTTTCTTCCCTTATTTTACATATCATAAGAATAAAATTTCTAAATCATTAAATGCAATGACAGAAGATTATATTTATGTAACAGTATAATGTTGAATGAAGGAAGAACACACTATATAACACTCACTCTTAAGTTTTACTAACAACTAGGTTTTGAGTTACATCGTAACCTATCTTTCTTGGCTCGTGTCTTAATTTTCACTCTGTCTGGAAAATTATACAGATTCAAAGGCATGTGGCATGGTATAAAAGTGGGAGTTACCACATCGCCTTTGTCTCACAGAGAATTAGTTCTTGCTGTGCTGGCTGAAGGTCTGAAATAGGTAAATACAGAGGGTGTTTATATACTTTTAAGAACAATTTTGATAAATAATTGAAAAAAAAAGGAGGGGGGGAACATATTTAAAAAAAAGCAAATATTTTGAAATTAAAATTTTGGGCAGCAACTTATTTTTTTAAATGAGAAATATCGTCTGCTACATATTAAAAAAATATATAAAGTTTTAATTAAAAATTAATTATTCAAACTATTATTAAACCTAATAATGTTTGTGCTTTTTATTGATATATAATTGCATTTAAAAGATGTAAAACTTTTTTTTTTAAATATAGGATGCATGGCTATATCATTTAACTGTTGTTTCTTGTGGTGATAATTTAGTTGGTACTCAGTATGAACAGTTATTAGCAAGGCTGATGGAAGTAGATGGAGATGAAAGTAAGTTTTTGTTAAAAGTTGTTTCCTTTGTGTTAAATTCTGAGTAAGGTAGGGTACAAAACAAGCTTTCTTTTAACTGATTTAAGAAAGCATGTCTTCTAATGCTTTTCCTTGTTTCAATTTTTATTATTTAGAACATTTGTCATGTAGCTTTGAAGAGAAAGAAAGAACTAAGAAAAGTATTGTGCATTTATATTCAGTTGAAGTGTGTTGATTAGCTTAATCATATGATTTTGACATTCACTCTTCCACCACACTTAGTATATTTTAGTAATGTGTTAAAAATTGAAGGTATTTCTGAAAATTTCCCAAACATTTAATTTTGTAATTTGACTGGCATGTTACAGTGATTTTTATGGAATACACACATATGTATCTTGAATTGCTTTAGTATGTTCTTCATTCACAAATGCAAATGTTCTGCAAATGCTTTTTTGTTTATGCACTCAATTTATGGTAATAAATCACTGTTATATTCGCAGGTGTATTTCAGACTTTTGTTACTCAGTATGTAACTTGCTACAGTCAAAAGTCTTTAATCCAGACTCGTCGGGACTTCGGCAATTCCGGATTATCGATTTTTCCGGATTATAGATCATCAGTTTAAATCTGGTAAGATGGCATCCAGAAATTATAAAATTAAAAATATGAAACCATAATTTATAAAATAATGAGCAATTATGATCTAAAGGGTATCAAAATTTACAAAAAAAGAAGCTTAATATTTATTTGTTTACTTTATTAAACAAACTCAACAGCACAGAAAGTTTTAAATTCTTTTTAAATTTAAGGTCTAAAACAACATTACATTAGTAGCAAAAATGCAACTCAAGTGCTTCTGTCAGCATTTATTCATGAAACAGGAGGGGGGGAATTTACAAAAAAAAGAAGCTTAATATTTATTTGTTTACTTTATTAAACATTTCTTTCAACGCGCACATGCGTAAAGCATACATTACGCATAGCCGAAATTAGAAAATTGCAACCAGAAAAATATTTTAACAGAACACACACCCCCCTTCCCGGCACAGAGCAGCGTGAAATTGATAAACAGATTTCGGAACGGTTAGATAAACAAAGAATATGCGTTTATCCATTTTTTTTAGCAATTCCACTTTTTGTTTGATGAACATCGAAACATACTTTCGTTTTGTAGATCCTTTGGGAGCTCCAGCATCGGAAATTCTATTTGACATAATCGAAAGTTCAAGCTTACTTTTATAAAATTGCTCTTACAGTCTGCAAAAAATAATAAGCCGGATCCAATTCGAAGATTAAGGAACAACGCAATCATCAACGTGAACTGAAATAGATAATAAGATAATTTTAGCTTATACCGTCCGTTATACATTAAACTTGCATGCGAAAACGTATTATGCACTTGCGCACACACTTATGCGCAGTCGTAAAGGTCTTGCGCGCACACATAAATGCGCATGCGTCAACGCGGCACATGCGCAGAAAGATTTTAGCTTTGAGGTCCGGATTATAGATCATTCCGGATTATGGGTGTCCGAATTAACGACTTTTGACTGTATTTGATTGTTTGTTTTTTAGCTTCCAGAAATTGTAAAAGTAAAGTGGTAAGCAATAGATTTAAATTAAATTCACATAATATTTGTGTTGAAATAATAGACTAATGAAAATCAAATTTAAACAGTGATAACATTATTTTTATATATTACAAACTAACTCAAAGTAGTGTAAATTTTCAGTGAAGTTATTTTAACATTAATATGGTGTTCTTAAAACTAAAAATTAATTTTAAGTATTGTTTCAGTAAACTGAAAAATATTGAGTAATTAAAGTTTTAGGAATTATAGAATCTTGAGAATAAAACTCTCTGTACAAAAAGACTAAACTAAATAACATAGACTTATTTAAGCAAAAGCATAGCTCAAAAATGAAGATAATTTGCATTGAAATGGTAGGTATAGCCAAAATTTAGAATCATTAGCGTCATCATGGAAATCCAGTTAATTTCATAGCAGTAAATTATGTATCTTTATGCATATACGTATGAGTAAGATAATTTGAATTTTTATTTTTTTACTAAATTCTTCCGTTAAGATCATTGAATGCAACATTGCACTTTTTATTGTTATTTGGGCTTGGAAAGGAAAATGCTTTCTAGTCACAACAGCAGCACTAGATCAAAAGAATGAATTTTCCTCTTGTCCCTGCCAAATGCTTTTATGGTCTGAAGTGTATAAAATGTAATATAATGTTATTCGTATATTGCTTTGATAGTATTGATAACATATTAAAACATCAGCTGCATAGTACATGGGAACCTAAACTGTTCTAGTAGGTAATCAGTAATAGAGGTAATTTTATGAATTTTATTAGCCAGAGTTATTTACATAAACATATAATTCCAAGGTGAATTGCTTATCTTTTGGCAAGTAAATCGCCAGCATATTTATACCTTAACTTTGTTTTCATTAAGTTTTAACCCATCTTTAGAAATAACATATCTCATATATTTGACTTAATTCAGCCAAATTTTACATTTATTTAAATTAAATTTAACTTTCTTTTCTCTGACTGTTTCCAACACCTTCTTTAACCTTAAGCCTTTGAGCACCATGAACGGCTTTATCCAGCCATGAAATTTTTTGTCACTTGGTATGTATTAGCTTATAATTTAAGATATTTTGTTTTCTTACTTTCTTAAATAATATAAATGTCATCTTAATGAATTAAATTTATAAAAATAAGGCACTAAAATAAGTAAATATACAAATTTAAATAATAAAAGCAGTTTAAATACAGATCCAAAAACCTGCACTGCTCAGGTTAAAGCATGTTCTTTTTTTATCATCCCCGAAACTAATAAGTCATCTATTTATACATTTGAACTTCCTTCTATATCACTAAAAATTTCAGAAAATGTCTGGTGATGAACACAGTCCATATTGCAACCTTAAAAAAAAAAGAAAGAAAGAAAAGAAGAAAAAAAATAGAAAGATAGGGGGGAAAGTCTACAAAATGGAGTATTAAATGCAGTAAGTTCACAGCTTGAATCTGACAGTTTAATTTGCCAAAATGCTTTGTTTGCATCTAAAATACTGAACACTTTTGCATTTGACATTTGAGATAATATTTCTTCAAAGGTTGATTGTGTAATAATGTTCTCTAGTATATTTTGGTTAATGTACTGAGGATCTAAACACACTTTTAAACTGCCATCCTTTTTTCTTGCTACAGCTAATAGACTGACAAATTCTGTAAGGTTGATTAACTTTCTTTATAATACCATCTTTTTTTCATTTTTGCCAGTTCCTTTTTTAATACGTTTAATAGGGTAAGAGGAATTTTCCTACGGAGCTTTATTTAACTAATAACTTCTGGTTTAAATTTAATGTGACCTGTAAGTCTTGATATTCATTTAAACATTCTAGTAAATTTTCATTAAATTCAAGATTTACTGTACAAATCCTTCGTGCTAGATTTACTTTTTGTAATATAGGTAAACCTAAAATAGCTGAAACAGTTTTATCACATGCTGCTATTTGAAATTCTACTTCATCTTTATCACCTTTAGATATCTCACATAAGAAATTACATTTTTTAACTACATCAAATTTATTTAAAGTGACATTTGACTCAGTCAGACACTTATCTCATAAATTTAATTCTTTAAATTTAGGCAATGATAACATACATTGAGCACCAGTATCCAACTTAAATAAGTATTTAGATAGGTTTACTTTTAGTTTTTCAAATCATTTTGCTCTATTTTTAGAAAAAGGATTTTTATCTTCTACTGATCCTAAAATGTATTCATTATTATTATAATGCAGCTCATGCTCAAAATTATTTTATATAATATTGACACTTTTATTAGTTCACATTTTAGAAAAGTGATTTTTTTGTTTTACAGTATATCTTATAAGCAAGACAACTGTATAGCTCGTGAGAAGTTACTCATTTTCTACATGATTTTTGATTATTGAACTAATTTCCTATTACATGGTATTTTCTCTTACATGATTTGTTTTTCTGAATGTGAAATTGTATTCTGCTTTATCACTTCTATTTTATAGTTTTCAGTTAAAGTTTTCAGCTGAAGTTCTAATTCAGCAGCTTTACTCATTTTAATACTTTTCTCCATTGTTAACTGATCTTACTGTAACAGCCTGTTGTTGCATTCTACGGATTCGTGGATTTGGAGTAATTGATGATAATACTTAATGAAGAATGAAACACAGTTTATTCGGCACTATTACACAGGACAGTTCCAAAGACACGTTTACAGTTATCAAAAAACTATGATAAGCACACTGAAACAATCAGCAACACGGCCTTGAGGCTATAATGATAAAAACAGCATAGCAGCAAAGCACTAAAGTACACCTCCCGACTCAGTCAATCACCCTCAAGCTAATCTCTGAACTCAAGACACTATTTCACTACTACTGAACTCAACATACTACTGTGTTCATGTACAGGCAGGATATATATGTTGACAAATAGGCAATTTCACCCCAAATCTGGCAACCCTGTCATTCCCTGCCACTTTCTGGCAACCCTTACCGCAACTTGACATTTTGTAACACTATCTTTAAGATTTTTATTTAAAATTCCACTTACTATTCTATCTCTGATTAAATTACCTTTTAATTCTGCAAATCCACAGTTACTGCTTAATTTCTGTAGCTCTATTAAATAGTCATCAAACAATTCATCTATGTGTTGTGTTCAAGAGAAAAATTTATGCCTATCAACACATAAGTATTAAACTTTTCAAGTGCTTCTTCACTAATAATACACAATAAAATAGCTAATTTAGTTTCAGGCGATTTGGTATTACCACCAGATGCTAACATATAAATATGGAATTTTTGTTTCTGCTTTTTCCAGTTTTCATTTATATTACCTTGGAAACTTGTTTGAAACTTGATTATTTTGTGGATTTAATCCATCCATATTTAATTAGACTGTAAATAGTCTCTCTCTGTCTAAATATATATATATAGGGTGTCTCATAAATGTTGCAATAAACTTCTGGTGGAGGTAGGGCACATCATAAGGATTAAGAATTACATAGAAACCCATACCCGGAAGTGTCAAAGGTAGGTGGTAGCAGAGGTAGAAGATGGGAAAGCAAACAAGAGAGTGATTAATTTTTAACATTTATTGGGCATGAATAAAAATGGTGTACAACAGCTTGAACATTACAACAAATAAACATGCCTAGCGCCGATGGACCATTGATTGCCTGGCATGTTCAAACACACAGGGAGTTTCCTTGATTTTAGCAGCTGCGCAGGCGAGTCTTGCCACAAGATCCATTTGAGACACAACAGGATCATGATACACGATACTTTTGATGGTTCCCCACAAGATGAAATCAAGGGCCGATAAATCCGGTGAGCATCCGATCATGGAACCGTTCCACATTGCGCCATATCCATCTATGAGAGAATAATGTGTTGAAATGGCTGCGAACATCCAGTACAAAATGAGCAGGCACCCCATCATGTTGGAATCACATGTTATGCCTCACATTTGGTGGAACATTGTCGAGCAAGCCGGAAAGAATCTGCTCCAGAAGGATCAGATAATTTGTGGCATTCAGTAATGGATGGTAAAAGGAACGGTCCAACTTAGCAGTCGCTGACCAAACTCGCATATTAACTTTAAAGTGTTGTGCCGTGTGGTGCCTCACACCATGGGGGTTTTCTTGAGTCCACAAATGCTGATTGGGGTGATTGCCTATATTTATTGAATGTGGCTTCATCCGTGAACAACGCATAAGCTGGGAAATTAACATAATGAGCACTTTCTTGCAGAAACCACTGTGCAAAACGACACGTTCAGGATGATCATCGGGGAGCGATAACTGAACCCTTTGGAAACGAAAAGCATGGAAAGACATGACGTTCAAGACACACTGGACACTGGTACGAGACATTCTTAATTGAGAGGAAATGGCACTTATGCTGGTCCTTGGGTTACTCTCCACCATATCCAACTCACTTTCTTCCCTAACGAGTTGATAGTGGCCTGCCCTCATTGGTCCTGCCACTTCTTAAGGATCCGTAGTCGCACAACTTTTGATGCAAACATGTAAACAAACTGTGGTATGGTTGATGCCTGTTGTAGAATCGTTCTCAATAAATGCGTGCAGGGACTTGTACATTACCCTCAACTATTCCATACACTAAATGCATGTCTGCAAGCTCTTTGTTTGTGTAGTGTTCCGTGCTCTTCGTATGATGCCTAGCGCTCGAATGAGGCAATCCTCACTTTCCATTAGCATTCTCCTGTACAGCACCCCCTGGCGGCATACAGTGACGTGTCCAAGCATGGGTTCTTATGCAATTCTTAATCCTTATGTTGTGACCTACCTCCTCCAGAATTTTATCGCAACATTTACAGGACGTCCAGTGTATATATGTAATGCTACTAACAAGCCTATCATTGATTAGCTGTACTTGTGCATTAAACTTTGTATAAATACTCCTGGCAGTTGATTGCGTTATTCTTCTGCTAGCTTCTATCTTGCTAATATCTTCTTGCTTTGCTTCCCCATCTAAAATGCCTGCATCTTAATTTTAAGAATCAATGTACATGGCAATATATCATTATGATTGAATCATAAAAATGTCTTGAATTTCATTATGATTGGGTAAATATCTACTGAGATGATTTTATATGCGTGGAAATAAAGACTGGAAATTCATCAATTTCATGTTTTGTTATCTTCATCTGTATGTCTTCACTCTCAGCTAAGACAACTGCATGCTGATTCCTCTTCTATGCTACCAGAATTATTACATATATATATATATATATATATATGCACATATTTTTAGCCGCTTAAATGAAAATAAACAATGCACTTACCAAGGAGAAAAGTTTTGATTTCGTTGTAAATAACTTCCAGTTATGTACCGACATGAATATCTTTAAGGTTGTTGATAAGTGGTGTTGCATAGTTCTTTAAAAAATTTTATTGGTTGCACCACATAACATTTGATTAAGTAATTGAAAACTAATATTATTTATTTAGTATATGTAAGTGTAAATGGTGACTACGAGATCAGCTAAACATTGTTTATTCTGCATTACTAGCTTTTGTTCTGTAAATTAGTTAATGGTTATCATGTATTATGTACAGTTAGTTACGCATGTGATGATATTGATGCAGCTGTGCATATTATTTTTAGTGTTAATTTTAAAGACAGGCATTTGCAACAAAATTAGAATTGTCGCTTAAATGTATGTCATGTTAACCAAGAACATTCTATCTCGTAATCAAATAGTATAAAATTCTTCATAATTAAGCATTTTATTAATTTTTACATGCTGTTATATATATTGCATTACAGTGTATGTGCTAAAGAACACATTGCAATGCTTCTTGTTTCTAATTAACACCTTGAACATGCTCATATATTCTTTAAAGCATTAACATAATCAATGTATATGAGAGATGTAATAATGTGTTCTGTTTATAATCATGAAGTCAGATTTTAATGCATTTATCATATATGTTATTTCAGTGATTTTAATTAATTTAAATTGCATAAGTTTGTATATAAAAATTGGTATAGAAAGTCAGAGTTTAAGATGGAGGAAAAGAAATATGTGTTAAGTAACAACAGAGTAACTAACTGTTGCAGTCATTCTGAAGGAGTTTTACTATTTGAATCTGGATTAAGTATACTAAAAAGAAACAGCATATAACATGTTAGATTTTGATAAGCAGAGTCATCATTTAAGCAATTATTTTGGGTAAAATATTCAAGAAAATAACACAGTTCATGAAATGTCTAGGGTTTTCTTTCCATTATTAAAAAAATTTAAAAACCTATTCATTTTATCAATAAGGAAATCTGACTATTTTATCAGCCGAGATTTTAATATAGCTGCTTTGTCAACAGTGATTTTCATCATGAAGTACTTGGAAGATATTTCGTGCTTTGTATTTCAAGATTTCAGTACTTAAAAAATTGTAACTAATGTTATAATTATGTGTTTATATAAATTCAAAAAAGGAATTTTTGAACTTTCATGTAATTGAAAATTTTCTTCTGTAGTCTGTCTGAAAGTTTTGATGGCACATTGAGCTTGGCAGAGTACTTTGTAAAGATTCTTCTAACTGTAATTCTATGAAAAACATTGACAAATATGCTGATATGCAGAACAAAGTTTAAATAATAAACATTTTTTGAAAACTGGCATTTAATTATGAAAAGGTGATATAAATGTATATTTTATGGCCAAAAAGATACAGAAAAGTAATTGGAAATACTTCAAAAGCAGTAGAGGATACCATACCCCCTTCCCCAGCTTTTTAGTGCTAGGTTCTGAAAATTTTAAAAATATTCACATAATTTCCCCCTCTCTCAATACATTTGGAGAACCCGATCTCTAAATTTTAAAGTGCATTCATCTGTTTAGTGACTGTTTTTCTCTTACTAACAAAGACAAGCCTTCACAAACTACCTGCGAAGGTTCCACTGACCTTTCCCTTCTAACTGTTAAACTTTATGCTAACCTGATACACCAAGTCACCTACACATTCACCTTTTCTAACTATTTGTGAATGATTTGAATGGCGGTACATGGATACCAAGCCTGAAGAGTAGCAGAAACATGATAAGAACAGGCAGCATACAGGGCATTACATAGGAAGCTATCTTCTTAGTTATTGTAATGTTAATATTTCTATGTATTCTTACTGGAATTCAGGTCTGTTTTAAAGAAATAATATTGTGGTAGTTACTTGTAGTTTATCCATGCCTAATGTTCATTTTTTATGTTGTTATTGAGACTACATTCTTCGGAAATTAAATTACTCGCATAATTTTCCCCTCTTGATTTTTACTTGATAAAATTAGTTAAAAAAAGAAAAAATATTCAAGTAAATACCATATTTTTATTATCACTGGATACACACTTCTTTTCTTTATTAATTCATTTGAAAAAAGAAAGATTTGTATTAAACTCCCATTTTACTGTCTTTTAAATTTATAAATGAAGTTAATGTTTTATTAGTTTAATTGCATAATTTTAATTACTGTAAATGTGCATACATCTTTTTGTTTAAATTATCTGATTAGTGTAAATAATAGCTTTCTTTTAAATACTTTTAACTGTGAATATGTTGGAATTTTTATTTATAGATAGTGTGATTTGGAAGCATCCTTTGTTGTTATATTCGAAGGATAGTTTGACTCAACCACTAACTAGTCTACCGTCCGAACAACTTCAGGCTGAGGCTGTAAAACTTTTCAAGGTATGCGAATACATTTTCTCATCATTGTAAATTAAACTTCATTCTTTAAATGAGTAGGCGGAGCATCTATGAGGTAGCATCTGCTTTGAATGTCAGTCATAGCTCTGCCCATCAAATCATCCACGACGAGCTGGGTTTTCATAAAGTCTGCACTCGGTGTGTACCAAGAAAGCTTACTGCAGAACACAATCTCACTTGTGTTAGGGTCTGTCAATGCTTTGTCAAAATACAGTTTTATGTGATACTGCACTTCTCCCATATTGCGATGATAGTCTGCGATGAATGTCTGACCCTTTGACACCCTCCAACCAGAGGAATCGGATCACTGCTCATTGTTACTCTTTGGTGCAAACTTCTAATGGATCAGCCATGATATATCTGCAACAGAAGGAACAAAAATGGAGGAATTAAGATCAAACTTTCACAGCATTACCACAACAGTATAACAATAAAATATGTCTGGACAGAAGACAAAGTGCGCAATGTAAGAAAAGTTATGACAAAAATGTAGACAATTTTTGACTTGCCCTTATAGTAAGATAAAAAATATGTGAATCAAAATTATAATTTAAACTAACAGTAAAACATTAATTCTCCCTCTTTATTCTATAAATCGCAATAACTTCTCTGGATTGCATCATTTGCAGATTATTCTATGGCCTGCGCTGTTCTGATGACCTAATAATTGGGAACTGAAACTACCATTGTAAACCAAAACTTATCTCTGCTTCCATTTTTCATAACTATGCACTTCAGCTTTGATCTCTACTGTGCTAAGATGTAATGCCACTGGCTTGCTTTCTATCTCAACAATATCAAAAATGTAAATCTTCTGTGGAAAGGCACGATTAGAGTGCCAAGTGATCTGTGGCCACATAATGTCAATTGGAAATAAAAATGGAATTAAAATCGCCTCGACTGCCAAGTTTTATTTACGAAGTCAACACATTAGCTTACGACGCAGTCAGAATACTTCCTCTTCAATATAGGATAACTACTCATCAACAGTGCTCTGTCTTTTCCTTGCTTTTATTATGTGAATTAGTCGGTCAGAATAGTTTCCTGCAGCCTGAGACCTCAATGGAAAATTTAGTTCATCTCTTCAAATAATCGTTTTGTGATAAATCCAAGATAATCAAATTTTTTTTTTCACTGTTTAAAAGTGGCGTTTTGCTAGTGCTTCAAAAAAATAATCACGCTTAGTGTTTACAGATTGAAAGTAATCTCTTGATAAATTGAGAAGTTCGAATGACTAGTGAAAAGGAATATTGAATTTGCTTTGCCAATCTCTACAATATTTAGAAAAAAAAATGTGCTTTAAATCATAGATGAATTACCATTTAGGAAATCAGCATTACAGTGGGGTTCAAGTGTTTGTGTTTTCAAGTATATGTGACAGAAAATTATTTGTGCTTCTGCTAGTATTTCGTCAATCGACAGCTCGAAAGTTATCTTTTTGTGAACTTAAGACAAAATTATTTAATATGCTGCGGATTCTATAGTTTTCATTTCAATTTTGGTTAAAATTTCTGCAATTTGATTGTGCTGTTTTGAGAAAATGTGAAATTCTTGTTCATTAATTCTTTAAATTTTTCGTAAGTATGTGTGATAAAAGTAACAAATAAGCTATTTAAACTATTTAAGGGAAGGATATTTAGGTAAATAATTATATTTTTGAATTTATGTTGGAAATGTTGAATTGTTAATAAGAATTTTTAAATGCACGAGATAATTTTGAAAAATTTGTGTAGAATATGATAAAAAAATTAGTGTTTTAAGTAGTATTATAGGAATCATAAGTAAGTATGGATTATTGGTTAATTGATTTTAAAATTTACGGATCATAATATGTTTAGATAAATTAGGCTCCCACTTTTATTTTTTCGAATATAATTATTATTTTTTTAATATAATAGAGTGTTTTTTTTTTTTTTTTTAATATATATATATATATATATATATATAAATGGGTGTTGTAATGATAGTTCGCAATGGCCAGTTACGTTATAAAAGGAACGGAGGTCTTTCCAAGTAACTGCCCAAATTGCTGGAAGTGTGTACTAGGAGAAAACTGTGGGGTCTTCCAGTTTGTACAAAATAAGTCAATTAAAAATTTCGGTAATATTAGTATATTATTTAAAATAAAAATTTAATTACATTATAAAATTTTGAAATTTTTGCAATCATGTAATGTTAACGGATGTGTTTGAAATTTTTGTATTTGAAAAAGTTTTAAAAGCCTTCCCTAAATAGATATGATTATGAAATTTATTTCCTTATTTTATATTCACAAAATTATATGATCCATATTATTATTGTAGGGCAGTGTATGATTTAATATATCTTTAATTTTGCATATTTGTATATATTTTCTATTTCAATTAACTAGTTTGAAGATTTTTTAAAAACTTTGATAATCATACAATACTAGAGGTCAGTTACCTTTATTAAAGAATGAAGGTTTCTATGTGTAATTGTATTTAAGCGTCCCACAGCCATAAGCAAATTGTCACGTTGATTTGCATTGTAGAAGATTTGCCCATTTTTATCAAAGTTTATTTTGTTATTGCACTGAATTTTTTACTTACTATGTATTAAGTTCTAAATTCTATTTTGCATTGCTTTACAATTAAGAAAATGTGGATTATATCATAAATAATCTATTAAAATTTCATGTATCTGTAAAAGAAAATTTTGGTTTTATATTGTCAAGATCAATTTTTATGAAAGACTTGCAAGTTAAGGACTGTGAAATATTGATTATGATTAATGTTTAAGCAAAGATTTTACAGAACTGTGAACTTTATTGAGAAAAATTAGGACATTCTTTATGATGAGCTTGAAAACTTTTAATTTTCAATTTTAATTTATTGTTAAAAATGATATCTGTAAGGTTTTATACTTCAAAAATTATTTTATATCAAAATTTTGTGATTTTTTCCTCAATGTCGTATTTATCTAGATTTGCTAATTCTGTAATGCTTTCTTCTAAAAAGGGTTTTCTGTCACCAAGCCTTTTTCTCTTTGAAGAAGGGGATATGTAAGATAAAAAAAATATGTTAATCAAAATTATAATTTAAACTAACAGTAAAACATTAATTCTCCCTCTCTTTTATAAAAATCGCAATAATTTCTCTGGATTGCATCATTTCTAGATAATTCTATTGCCTGTGCAGCTCTGATAACCTAATAATTGAGAACAGAAACTACCATTGTAAACCAAAACTTTTCTCTTTGCGTGCTTCCATCTTTCTTAACTATGCACTTCAGCTTATATATTGCTCTCTACTGTGCTAAGATGTAATTCCACTGGCTTGCTTTCTATCTCAACAATATTAAAAATGTAAATCTTCTGCGGAAAGGCACGATTAGCGTGCCATGTGATCTGTGGCCACATAATGTCAATTGGAAATAAAAATGGAATTAAAATTGCCTCAACTGCCAAGTTTTATTTATGAAGTCAACACATTAACTTACGACGCAATCAGAATACTTCCTTTTCAATATAGGATAACTACGCATCAGCAGTGCTTCCGTCTTTTCCTTCCTTTTATTATGTCATATATACAACTGTGAAAAGGAGTTAGTTGGCACAGCAGTATGTTCTACAAACAACTTGTATTAAAAACTTTTTTAAAACTATAATTATATAAATATTATATAAATTTTTAAAACTATAATTTCTCTTGAAGCAAACATTTCTCACAAGGATAATATGGCATGAAAGAACAGAACCATCAAAGTATCAAGAAATGTTATTTTTAATGAGGAAAATGCAAGTTGAAAATCCCACTAATCATAAACATTCTTATTTTCAATAAATGAGAATGATGTGAACAACAAGAATTCTACAGATGAAGTAGATGATGGTTTGCTAAATAATCATCCTAGTTCAAATAATGAAGATATCCATTATAAACTTCATCCCAGGAACACTCTATAATTCCCTGCTCATTATAAACTGTGGCAAATATTGTTTCATCTGAGATGTATGAAGGGGAAAATTAACTCTCCTCAAGAAGACAACTGGAAAGAAGCTATAAATAAAGAGTTACATTCTCTCAATAAAAATAAAATAAGGTATCTTGTACTTCCAGAGCTAGGTCACATAATTGGATCTAAGTGGGTGTTGAAAGTAAAAACATCTTTCTAATGAAAATATTGACAAATACAAAGCTAGACATTGTGCCAGAGGATTTTCTCAAATGGAAGGAGTGGACTTAGTGAAACCTTTTCACCAGCTTCAAGTTTTGACACCTTAACAATATTCATGAAACCTCCTGGCAGGCTTAAACTATGCAAAAATTTCATGTGTCAACTCAATCCCTGTATGGATTGAAACAAGCATCTAAATGTTGGAACAAGACATTTGCTGAATTCTTAACTAGTTTTGGTTTCAAACAAAGTGCCTCTGATTCATATGTCTTTAATGATATCTTTCAGAATAAGAAAGTATTTTTAATTCTATATGTGGATGATGCTTGTTTTATTAAGATAGGATGCACCATTTGAAATTGTGGATGATCTGAGAAAGAAGTTTGAAGCAACAGTTTCAGAAACAGATGTTTTACTGGAAAGTAAATTGATTATAAAGCAGATTGCTCAATTTTCATATATTCATAGAGCTATAAAAGCATATTCTGAAATGATTTCACTTAGAAGATGCAAGTCCTAATACTATACCTGCACATCCTGGTACAATTCTATCATTAGAATCCCATCCATTATCAGAAGGAAAAACAGTTCCTTATATAGAAGCTATTGGATCACTAATGTTCCTTGCTAGCACTTACATGTCCAGATATAGCTTTCACTGCAAATGTGGTTAGAGATTTCAAGCCAATCCTGACTAAGTGCATTGGAATGCTATAAAACATATCTTCAAATACCTGAAAACTACAGCAAACTGTTGCAGTGATTATTCTCCAGCAGCTAATGATACTTGCCATCTTGTTTGAAACCCAGATGCAAATATTGCTCACAATGTGAACACAAGAAAATTAATTTCTAGTTATGTTTTGAAACTTAGCAATGGTTCAATAACTTGGTATAGTCAAAAGCAGTCAGTTGTTTCTACTTCTACCACTGAGGCTGAATATATTGCAGCTTCAACTGCAATTTAAGAAGCGTGGTTTCACTAGGTTCTTCAAGATGTGGGTGAAAGTGAAATGTGTGAAGATGGTATTGTTATCTTCATTGATAACCAGAGTGCTATTATGCTAATTAAAAATCCTGTATTCCACAACTACACAAAGCATACTGAAGTGCACTACCATTTTATTTGTGAAAAATGTCAAGACAAATCTGTCATTATAAAGTATGTGAAAGCTAAAAAGCAATTAGCAGATTATCTTCACGAAAGCTCTTCCGAAAGCAAAATTTAAAGGGTTCATAGAACTGCTCAACATAAAAGATAAGACACTTGCAAACATTTAACACATTTGCATTAATTAACTTTTTTTTTCTTAGTTTTGCTTTTCATTTAATAATTGGTTAAGTAGTTCTTGCTTATGTCATTGATCATACTTAGTTCTAGTGACAACAGAGTTTGGAGGGAACGTTAAATCTGTAGTTTTAGTGTCACATTTTCTTTATATCTTTTGGCAACACTATTATATTCTCATGTTTATGTTCTATGAATGTGTTTTAGTGGCGTGTGTCACCTGTGGTTTTATTGTTAATTTTGTTCCCATTTTAAGCTTAAATAATTCATTTAAACCAGTAATATGAGCATTTATTCATGTAGTAGTTTATAAAATTTATCTGAATTTTGTTATATGTTCTATTCAATGTGAAACAATTTTCTGTTGTCCATGTATATTTTGGAAAATCTGTCATCTTATTAAACATGAGAATTTCGTCTTTGTAGTCCATCCAGTTGTTCATCTCAGTGCCTCTTGATGCATCGGGCATTGACTACCACGTGGCCCTGGCCCAAAATGCCTTGCACCAGTGCCTCATGCAAACTGAACTTCAAAATGAACTTCTTTGTCAGTTAATGAAGCAAACATCACGTCATTCCTATCATAAGCCTGGTGTTCAAGTAAGTTCTAAGCACTTTTTTCAGTGTTATCAATAAAGTGAAAGGCATATAATGTGATGAATGTTTTAGATATGTTTAAAGCTTAGAGGATGACCTATGAATCTGCTAGAGCTGCAGTGTCTCAAAAAGACGGCTGTGGCCGAAATTTATTATTTAAGTGACTTAATTTAAACTGAAAGAAATTATGAAAACTTTCTTAAAATTTCAGAGAAATTTTCTATACAGTATGAAACTTGAGAATAAATAATGACAACCTAATTTCTTTCTCTTATTTATTAAATTTTTCTTCAACACATAAATGAAAATACATGTGTTTGTATGTAAATAACATCTTTTATTTCTTACTACAGCTTTACACTTGATAACATTTTGATTCTAAGAAAGTTTGTAGTCTTGGAGAGAAATTACTTGAAATTGTTATCATCATGGGTTGTAGATGCTAATTGATCAATTGGGTTTTCTTTCCTTATTAATTTTCAACTGTAAAAAAATGCTGCTCAACTATAAATGAATATAAACTTTATTTATTTTTTGACAAGTAGAATAAAAGCTAACAAAATCATTTCAGTCTTTAAATAAGAATTATGTCACATTGTTAATTAGCTGGATTTATAGATTTTCTGACTAGTTATTCATGATCATTTTTAATGTTAAAGATAATAATGTAAACTCTGATTTCAAATAAATCAGATCTTGAAATCCTTGTAACTCCATATTTGCAACACGTATTTGAAATGTCTTTGCAGGTCACATAAAATTGCTTAGAAGGCCACCAGTTTGAGATCACATAGTAAATTGTGTTGGATAAGTTGAATGTGAAAAAGATTGCCCTCAAGCTTTGATCATGAATGCATTTGCTATGAAACAGTCTTTTACAGTTTAAAATGTGATGATCGTCTTTTGTTCTCATTATTCAGTAGATTTAGCTGTTGTGACTTTTCCACTTTCCTAATTTGTAAATGACTTGAAAGGGAGAAAATTAACATTATAAACAATATTGGGAGGAGTGACTAACTTTTTACAACATTTACAGCAAAAGATGACTTTCTTGAATTGAAATCTTCTCCATATGGGGAAACATTGTTGAGAGTGATATTTACATTGCAATGGAGAAATTTATAGAAATGATAGGCATATAAGAACTATCATGCATATAAATAGGTATTTTTTACGAAACTACATGAACTTTTGGTAGCATCTCAGATGCAAAATATGCTCTAAATATAGATTTTATTTGTCCAGTAATCAAGGAATAATTTGTATGTTAATTTATATTTTTCATCATGTTAGACCAAATGAATATATGTACTAGTATTTTTCAAGATATTAGGGTAAAGTTAGATAAAAAGTTGGAAAAGTTATGAAAATAAATTTTGAGGAGTGATTTTTAGGAATTTTTTGATCTTTTGGATTGAAGATAAATTTTTGCCATCTCAATGCTAGATTGCAGTTTAACAAAGGGTGAAGACTACTGCATTAGATTGTCAAAATTTCTTGAATTTATTATAAAATGCATGCATATAAGGATTCTCTAGACTAGTGGTTCTCAACTTTTTTTTACCCATACACTCTTTTTAATGTTTGCTAAATGATCATTCCCTCCCTTTTCTAAAACTCAAAAAATGCTCATACATTTAAATTTAGATTATTTTAATGTGTTTTAAGAATTAAACAAAAAAGGATATAGTAAATATTGATAAATACCAAAAATTGAATAAAAGTAGTTTTTTATATTCATAAATTAAAATACAGTACTTAAGGTAAAAGGCTGACTGGATTCTCTTCTGAGATTATGAAATCCCCTCTCAGTTCAAAAATGCTGCTCTAAACCATAAGATGATAGCATCTGCTTGTCATATAAGCTCCTTGAAACAAATAGTAATGAAAGCTAGGATTTAAATTGTCGCTTTCGATGAAGTAAAATATATATTCATGTATTAAAAGATCAGCCAGTCATTTAATGCATCCAATTGCTCTAAAACTGGACTGCCTTGAAAGCTCACATGGAAATTGCAAATGCCACATATATAACAATTCTGGATAGTTCAGTGTATAAAAAGTGCAATTCATAGTAGAAAAACTGAATCAATGGAAGAAGAAATTTCTAGTCTAAAATTATAAACACAGTCATCTTATTTTTATAACTCAATTATCAAAAGCCTGCATTTGAAATTATGTAAGATTTTGGGGAAGGGCAATATAATTCATAGGCCTTAAACATATGAAAGAAAAACGAATTAGGAAATCCTGTTGACCATAAGCGTTGGCGGAAATGCCACCAAATTTCCGTTATTTGTTTCAGTAAAAGTTTAAAAGAAAAAGGTGTGTGCTTTATTTAGTTAGATTATTAACAGATACAAGTTACAGATATAGCACTTAAATTATTTATAATTTTTTTTATATTGTGTTGCCATTGTTTCATGTTTTTATATTATCATTATGTTTATCTGTTTTATATTAATGAGGCCATATTGGGCCCATTATACATACTTTTCTTAATGTCAAGATTCTGTAACTTTGAAAATACTGCACTACATGCTGTGAAGGAAGGTACCATATTTTTTAATCATCTTCCCCCCCCCCAAATGTGAGGGAAAGCAAATTAATATCAATTCACTAATATTCTCCTTTACAAAAAAAAACTAAAGTGGCTTATTGAGAGTTAATCAGGTTTACGAAAAATCAAGGAAAAGATTTCATGATTGTGATATGATGTCATGCTTATCTATTATTGGCTTAGTTATCTGGTTAGTTGACTGTATTAATCAATTTCTACTATTTGACAACTGTTTTATACATCAACTCCAGTTATTTAGCCCTTGAGACAACTTCACATTGTCTGGATATTTAAGTTTTGGTTTTGCAATCAACCCAGGACTCCTGTTGTAGGTTACGAGAGTCGTCAGCAGTTTGTAGGCCGCCAGATGTCGCTCCTAGTGAAAAACAGGTCTACCTGACCTGTTTGCCCCATCATCGTTCTAAGTAGGCAATGGCTTTGTATGCGTTTTTGCCCCTAATTTTTTTGTATTTAAACGAAGAATATGGCCGTAGATCTCTGAATCGGTGGCAAATTTACAGAAAATATGTTGATGCTTTTGCTTTGCCAGAAGATGTTTTCATTGCGTATTTCAGATTGCCAAAATTTATAGTTATTTTAATTTGCAATGAACTGAGAGAGTGTTTGCAGCCACATTCAGAAAACAAGAATGCAATTTCTACTGAAAGGAAGGTTATTTATATTTTTTCTGAAATTATAGATATATATTGTAATTATATAGTTTAAAAATGTAGAAGATAATAAGTATTTATCTAGCACATAATCCTTCTTCAGTTAATAAAAATATAGATGTCCGAGAAGCGTGTACTTGATTTATGTAAGCAAGAATTAAGTTTATTTTAAAATATAACAGTGGAACAATACTGTGAACAACAATAAGGAATGTCGTTCATTATTATGTGAAATTCACACTACTGTAAAAGAAAAATGAAATAATAATTTTATTAATATTTTTTAGTAGTACTACTACTAGTGTGATACTTTTAAAAATAAATTTTAGCTCAGAAGGGCTATTAATTTTGTTTTGCCATTTTGTGACGTTTCACGATAAATGGCGTTTCACTTTTCAAATTGTTGCCACCAAATATTATCGCACTGTATTATATTAAAAAAAAAATTAAATAATGAAGAATCTGCATAAATGTATGAATGTTTCTTGCACTGTGATAAAACAACAATACCTAGAACCATCAAATTTTGAATAACGTAATACTCCACATCTGGAGGCCCAAATTTGAAACTGGGAATTTTTTTTTATTATCTATTTCATATTTTATAAAGCATTTATGAGTGTTTGATTAAGAAATTCAATGATTTCTAAACGAGCAATAACATTGTACGGAGGGAGGGGGAGTGGAAAAAAAACATTTTCATCTTTAGCGCTCGAGACTGTGTATCGGAAATTCTAAAGATATGCTCTTTTCAAATTATATGATATTGCTATTGAATTGAATTTTATGGTTTAAGTGCGAAGAACATGATATTTAATAAATAAAGGTAACACACAAAATGTTAAAGAAAGAGCCCTTTGGGAGTAATATAAAATCTAAATGTTTTCAGTTTTTTTTTTTTTTTTTTTTTTTTTTTTTTTTGTGTGGTGTGGTGTGTGTTTTAAAAGAGATATTGATTATTATCAGTTTTCTGTTTGATGTGTCGAAACGCTGGTTTGACAAGTTCTTCAACTACAGGAAACCTACATTGATAAATTTTTTTCTTTAGTACTCGCATTGTGAAAATATTACTATCTTTTAATTATTTTCACAGAATAAAATCTTTTAAGAAGGAAGAATATTTAAAATAAGCAGTTCCTATATATATATACAATGTCCGGCTATTAATTTCCAGGACTGACATAACTGTAGGAGAACGAAAAGTCGGAAGAGCATTTTCTTGCGCATGTGCACTGCAATCGGCATCATTCTGAAGTAAGTGATTCTCGTGGAAAGGTGCCTTAAAATGTAGCTCTTAAATTCCTATTGTAGAAGGGAAAATGGAGCAAAGAATTAACATTAAATTTTGTTTCATATTGGGCAAGACAGCTGCGGAAACCTACGAAATGTTAAAACAAGTTTACAGTGAGGAAGCATTATCCCGCTCAAGAACTTATGAATGGTTTAAACGCTTTCAAGACGGGTGCGAAAGCGTTGAATATGATCCACACACAGGTCGGTCACAGTCCGTACGCACGCTGAAAGCAATTGAAAAAGTTCGTGATATGGTGAAATGTGATCATCGATTGACTATTCGAATACTCGCCAATGAATTAAACATGGACAAAGAGACGGTTCGGCGAATTTTGACCTAGGCAAATGCAAGATTTTTTCCAGATTCGTTCCTCACCATTTAAGGGACAAACAAAAGCAATTGAGACTGGATGCATGTGGCAAACTTATCGACAACGCTGATGCTGACCCTGCGTTCCTGGATAGTATAGTCATGGGAGACGAGTCTTGGTGTTATCAATATGACCCTGAAACCAAGTGTCAAAGCTCCAAATGGCGGTGTCCAAGTTCACCAAGGAAGAAAAAATTTCGATTTGAAAAGTCCAAAATAAAGGTCATGTTAATTGCTTTCTTCAATTGCTATGGACTCATTCATCATGAATTTCTTCCTCCTAACATGACTATCAATGGACAGTTCTACACAGAAGTTCTGGACCGAGTTCGAAAATGAATTCGTAGAGGCTTCATTTTCAACAAAATGGGAGTTGGCTGCTGCTACATGACAATGTCTGCCCACACATTGTGTTGCCTGTGAGGCGATTCTTAGCCCAGCATAGTGTCGTTGAAACGCAGCATCCACCATACTCTCCACGGCTAGCACCTGCAGACTTTTTCCTGTTTTCTAAGCTGAAAAATTCGCTGAAGGGAACAAGATTTCAGGATGTCGAAGCCATCGAGAAAACTGTAACGTCACTATTAAAGAGCATTCCAAAAGAGGACTTCTTTCCAAAATTTGTACAGCTGAGCACAGACGTGCATTATGGCTGATGGAGATTAATTTGAATCATATTAAATGGCTATGTGTTTAACCTTTTTTTCTTCTGAGTTACTCCATGAGTCCTGGAAATTAATAGCCGGACCTTTATAAGAAATTTAAATAACAGCACTGTAATATTTTTAAAAAAAAGTCTTAGTAATTGTGTGACAAAAATTGCAATATGAATTAATCACACATACAGGATAGATTAGTATAATTTTGATTATGTATTTTATATTGAAAAAATATTTTCTTTCATGTTAATTATAGCATAAATTATTTAAAATAAAACATTTTGATGCATGTGTGGTAGTTGAATGCAGCAGCAAACGGCCATGCTGTAATAGCAAATGAATTTTATTTCTTTTCCTGAAAGAAATAATTTTCATAGAAACAGAAAATAAAAAAAAAGAAAGAAACATTTTCTTTCTAATTTCTTACTTAAATATTTTTCTAATATTAACTGTCAAATAAATTGCAAGAAAACACAGTTTTAATATAAGCATGGAAAAAAACTGAGTTTGCTATTAGATTGTAATGCAAATTAATCATATTATAAATTTAAATGCTTAAAATTGTTTATTTCTAAAAAGATTTGAAGTAAGCTTATTTCATTTGCTCTTATATATTTACTCTTTTTATCATGGTATCCCATATCACTCTTTATTTCTCAGCCCTAAATTCCTGCGTTAACTTTCTAAAAAACAAACGGGATTTTCCTTCACATAACACAGCAGCATGTGAGTTGGTGAAATAATGGGAGAATATTCCTAGAACTTCAGCCAGCACGCGCTGTAAATTTCGTCACTCGTCTGTACTGCGATTGGTCTAAAGCTCCTTGAAGCCTTGTCCCCTTTCAGTAAAGTCAAATGGATCCACACGCCCACCAACTGAGGACCACAGAATGGCTTTCTCCGAAAAGTTGTGATGGCTGTCCATAGCGGTTTTTTTTAGTCAATATTGTTCAAGTTGTAGACAGATCCAGTGATCCTAGAATAGGTGCCAGTGATTCTAGAATAGGGTCCTAGAATATACATTAATAAATGAAAACAAATTTCATGTTTATTTTATTCTGTTAGGGGATTACTGGGAGTTTTCAAGGCATCTGCATTTCTTACTATGTATCATTCCAGTTAAGAAATAAATGCAATATGCTTGCGTATTAATGATTGCTAATGCATTTTAATTTAAAACTGCTTATATACCTAATTTTAAATTATGTGTTTATTGACATTATCAAATAGGTCTTTATATAATAATCAAATCAGTATATCAGCGATTTGTTTTCATTGTCGTGTACAAGATATAAATTTCATATGAGTCTTCTGATATAAGACTGTGAAAATGTATATTTGAAAAATTTTTTAGCCTTTCATAGTCTTTCCTTTTAACTAGGCATCAAGATATTTTTATTCTGTTCTGTAAAAATTATGTAGAACTTTATGTTTGTATAAATTTTATGCAGAAAATACTATATGTTATTAATTGCTCGAATATTTGGATGTATTTTCTCTGTAGCAACTCCTGTTGTGTGCCACACAATCATTGTTTTTATGTGATTCCTCTGAAAAGCTTTCTCCTACCTCAACAACATCTCATGATCGAATCCCACCTCCTGAAAGTAAACTTAACCCACCTCCATTTGTGTTTGTACAAAGCTGGCAGCTATTGGCTTTGGCTCTATCTCTTTTCGTACCCAAAAATAGAACTTTATGGTATTTGAGAATGCATTTATCAAGGAATGCTGATCCTAAGTAAGTTTCTTAGTTTTATTCATAACTGTGTTTGTCATATATAGAATACTACCATTATGTTCAGATCAAGTAGTTGTGAAGTAGGAATTGCAACATCCTAGGTTCGTGTGAAATTGGGGGTAGTTCCAAAAAGCATTTTAAAGTTTTATTTATTACTTATTTTTGATGAATAAGTATATAACAAAAGATTTTATTTATGTAAGTAATATTATTTTTCTTTGGCACTTAAGTTATTTGAATGGTACTGTTTATTTTTTAATATTACTTTCATTTTGCATATGTAATTTAGTTTTAAAATATAATTCTTTATTCAGTGAATTCCTTAAATCTTAAAATTAATGCAATGGATGTTTAATAAATAAGATGCTTATTCTAGTGCAGGAAATGTGAAAAGACAGAGAAGTAATCACACACACAAAGTGTGAGGTAATGTGATCTAATTATATATCTAAGAAACATTAGAAAAGTAGCCCTTTGTTTAAAACATTCCTGCAAACAGGAAATCTGCAACAGTTGACTTTGGCTGTTAGAAATTAGAATTTTCTCTGTAGAAGAAATGTATGAAATAACATTATCCAGAACAGAGTAGTTCATGTTGTAGTGCATAGTTAAAGCATCTTTTGATCATTGAGTGAAATGCCATATTCTGTACTATGAAACTTGTGTTTTTTCAGAAGCTAATCCTTCTTAAGCCATAACCATCTTATTTGCTATGGTTTTTCCTGGCAAACTTTAACCCTGCCATTTTCTTTTACAAAGATAAGTATCATGAAGTTATCATTTATGCCTAATTTAAACTATGCAAAACAATGCAGTGTCTAATCTGTGGCTGATATCAAAAGAAGTATTCTATTATCACTTCCACGGATATCAGAAATGTCAGAAGAAGTGTTTGTATTTCTATGGATGTTACTTCAAAGGTGGCTTAGAATCAACGTTTATATTTAAAACAGGACTCCTCTGAAAGCATTTTCTCTGAACTTTTTGAAGATAGGAATATCTAAAGTAATTATCCAAATTCATATAAATTCTAGAAAAAAATCCTATTATGTGTAAAGTGAAAGCAGTAATGGTTATTCTGGACATTTTAAGATACATTCTTGTTCATTCCCTAAAAAGTTGTAATTTTTTTCCTTGATCTAAGGCTTCCAAACTATGTGCAGTGATGCGTTTGAGTGCTTTGAGTAACTTAGTTCCATAAAAAAGTTATTTAGATATTTAGCATAATCTAGTTTCAGAATTTAATGATCAATATGTTAGTACCATGATGAAAAGAATATCTAGTGACCACTCTACAAATCACTCTTTATGGAAAGCACTTAATATTTTATCAGTTGTTTGAAAATTACTTAGAATAGTATCAGCAGGTTTGTATAGTTTAAAGGTCCATTTATTGCCAAAGCTTCAGATGAATTTACTTTCATAGAAGAAAATCTTTGTGAAATATCTTCAAATTATCACTGAAGATAAAATTTGATAGTAAGGGACTAATTGATTTTTGGATATCATTAAAAATTTAGTAATTTGTGTGTGGCTTCATGTTTATGCAAAGCTAGGTTTGCAGTGGTCACTGTGGTGGAAAAGGAAATAAAGGTCGCTATGTCCTGTTTGAACCCAAGAATTGAAATATATGCAGTGAAAAAAAAAAAAAAAAGCTTACCCTTTCCACTAATTGCTATTTATTTTGGTCAAAATATGTACTTATTTAATACATTTTACATAACATAATATGTAAAACTTTTATCAGCATATAATGAGACAGTTTACATAAATTGTTTCTAAATTTTAAATACATTTTTCTTTTTTATTTAACTAATGTAGTTGTATGAGTTGTGTGCCATATCTGTTAAGTAGGTTTAGGTTCTGACTTCCAGTGCTTACAAAAATTCTGGTATACCAAGAATGCTGTGAGCTCCAAATGCTTGAAAACCACTTGTCTAGATGATTGCCATATTATGCCAGATTCCAGTTTTTGTTTTATGTATTTTATGAATAATAAATATTACATTTTGGTTTTTGGTTTTCTTAATAAATTAAGAAATCAGTTTATAATTGTAAATTTAGAGAATGTAAACAGTTTTTTAGTTGATGAAGATATATGCATATTTGTGAGAGATCTTGAGTTGTGAGGATTATGATTTAACATAACCTTTTTAATAATCTGAAATACAGAAATGCACTTTCGTGGGAAAAATTAAAAGAATAACTATAAAAAACACACATGATTTGAATGAGTTTATAGATAAAAACGTGAAACTTGCACGAAATCCTTATTTCAGTATATGTGATACTTCGTAAAAATTCAGGATTACCTATTTCTGCAAAAAATAAATTTAAATAAGAATGTAGGAAATGTGATCTAAAGTGTGTCGGGGAAAAGTTGGTGTTATAACTCTTAAGAGGTACATAGGAAAAGTTAATAAACTATAGAAGTTTATATAACAATTAAACTATTTGGTCATTTCTGGCTGAAATGCAAACTTTATGACGATTTTCCTTGCTATGTATTAGACTATCCTGGAGTTCCTGTGGTAACAAAATGTTTTCAGGATGGATAGCACCTTGAAGCGCCTAAAGGGTGCTAGGTGGGAAATGCAGTGGTAAAAGTAAGCATCCTAATACATCACACATATATTGGAATGGATTTAAATCTAGAGAATATCTGGGCCCCTCCATCTGTTGGATACCTTCACCCTTAAGATAATCATCAAGATTGCTACTGCAGCCTGATAAGAATGAGCATTATTATTTGAACCCCTAAGTAATTTAACACAAGGATCAAAAACCTCATCTCTATTTATTTCAGCATTCATATGTGTGCTAGTAAAAATGAATTGGTCGATATGGCCATTCAGAATGATGCCCACCCAAACCACTTTTTTACCACCTTTGTGTCGATATCTTTCATGGGTGTTTTCAGGCTTATTACATGTTTCTTATTCTCTCTAGATTATGTTGGATTTGGAATCACTTTCAAAACTCATTACAAAAAGGATTCAGCTTCAAAACATAGTACTCCACTCACAATGAGTTCTACATGACACTATTCATAGGTTTCCCTACATACAGCCATTCACTTGCAGTATTTTCTGGGTAGTTGAGTTCCTGTAGTTGAAGTGAATTCCGTTCCAATTTGGATTGACAGTTAGCAAATGTTGACCGATATTTCTTCTGAGAATCTGTTGTAGTACATGTTCAATTTTGGTAGTTTGGTTTTCTGCATACATCATATTCATGTGTCATCATTTCTAGATTCCTTATATGATGATTTTTTGGCTATTTTTGAGTCTTTATAGACTGGTGTCAGTGTCTATCATGCTGTTATTCTCCCAATCACATGCCATTTTTCATAATCTACTAAATGCCTTCTCAGCAACATATTCCATTGTACAGTACTCGAAATTTGTATTTGAAATACCCTCTTTCACTCCTTTCTGCAAAGGCTGAAAGAATGGGCTTAAAAATTTGGGGATTTCTATATAGCAAAGGTGAATCCCATTGAACTGTGTGATAACTTTGGCCTTATTAAGTGACGAAGTCATACCTCAGGTTCCTGGGCGAAACCCTACCCTGTGTGTAACAAAAGTAGAAGAGTGTGCACATCTTTTGTTCAGCATAGCATAAGTTAAGTCATTTAATCTGAAAGTTCATGAGAATTTTTTGAAGGATAAGCAATAATGGTGTATGAGTAGATGTAAATATATCTGATAGCAGTTAGGTGATATGGCAGTTATGTAGAATTTGACTTGATTCACAGCATGAGAGCACGAAGTAATATTTAAATGGTTTATTTAATAGAAAGAAATAAAAGTATATAAAGATGAAGTTAACGGTATGCAGGATTAACATAATGATGTAAAGGCATAACATCGAAAGCACAATTAAAGTTCATAAACTCTTGAAGACGTGTGAGCCGTCTGCTCACGTCTGCCCTCCACTCTCGACCAGGTTTCAGCGCTGTCTGGGATGATTCTTACTGCGCTGGGTGATGCTATACTGATGACGTCATAATCCTGGTATTCTAATTCAGCATTGGACGTTGATGACTCCCACAGCTTCGGCCAGCCTGAAGAGGCATCGTCCTCGATGTCTGTTGAATGGACATCACTATCATGTACCTGCAAAGATAATAAAAAAAAAAGAAAAAAAAAAAAGAGTATCAGGTCCTTAGGTTTTGAGCTGATACAAACATCAAATCAATTTGACCATGGCTTCATATGGTCAGCCGCAGTAGATGTCAAATTTGGTCCTTCATGGCATCCTACTTTCTCGACTTCATATCTATCATTTGATCGAACAGCTATGATTTTATACGGTCCATGAAACTTAGGTCGTAGTTTCAAACCAGTCCCATATTGAGTTCTCTGAATGGCTACCAAGTCGCCAATCTTGTATAGTTTCGGTTTCTTACGTTTCTTGTTGAATTGTTTACGATTCTCTTCTTGTATCTTCAAAATGTTGTTTTTCGCATCTTCTCTCATTTCATCACGTTCTTGCATCAATTGTTTTAGATATTCTTCATTCAATATCTCACTAATTCTCAAATCTTCTTTATTCTTCATTTTCGTGCCTATGAGAAGCTCAAACGGTGAATATTTCGTACTTCTCGTAGTTGTACTGTTGATTATTCTCTGAACATCTGGAACATACTTTAAACCATTTCGTTGAATCTTCATGTGATAATTTTGACAAAACAGGAATCAAAATTCTATGAATTCGCTCAATTTGTCCGTTACCTCTTGGAATACCGGTAGTAATTTTGACATGTTCTATTCCTTCTTCAGTACAATAAGCTGAAAATTCTTTCGATGTAAAGGCACTACCTCGATCTGAAATGATTCTGGCTGGATTTCCAAATACAGTCTGTTGTTGCTTCAATTTTGAAATAACTTCTTGCGTAGTAGTTGGTGATTTCACTGGATAGAACCAAGTAAATTTCGTAAAAGCGTCGACAACAGTTAGAATGTGTTGGTATCTCTTGTTCGTCGATGGAAGAGGTC